CAGGCAAATCCCGAGATCTAGTTTTGAAATTATTTTAAATATTCTATCAATATTCATTGAAATAAATGCAAACTACAGAGCTACTAAAATATCAAAAAATTAAAAATTCATATATAAAATTTCTTTCATTTACCAAAATAAATATCTATACTACAGTACATGGCTATAGGTAAATAGAACTGAAAATTTAAGATAGTTATGACTGTACAAAAATCAAAATAACAAAATAACAAAGACCTCAGATTTGATCATGAATTGCTAATCCACAATCTCTTTCCCCTTAATCCACAATCTCTTTCCCCTTCCCCTAGATTCTGAAAACTACACAATGAGCTACAACAACTTAGCAAGCCACACAAACCAATCTAAATTTTTAATTATTCTCTTATCAAATATTTTTTTGAACATTTAAAAGCAATTAAATGCAATTTAAATAAATTACTGAACTGAGAATCAAAAAATTGGGAAATATAATAAATGTATAGCAGTTATTCTAGGGGTGTCAATTTCGGGTCACAGGTCGGATTCGGGTCGAACCCGAAACTGACCCGACACTATTCAGATCAACCCGAACCCGACTCGTTTTAAAAAACGGGTCAAGTTTTTGGACACGAACCCAACCCATTTCGGGTCCAGGTCACCCAACACGACATGAATGACCCATTTTCAACAAAAAAATTGCTAGTTTTTAGGTCAAAACATGTCATTTTCCTCTTTTCGAGTCAAAATTGGGCAAATCTCTGGTTGTCTAGTCAAAATCAGGTTTTCGGGTCAAAATGGGTTATTTTTGGGTTAAAGGGTTAACCCAAATCTGACCCGATTTTTGAAACGGGTCCAAATGTTGAACCTAACCCGTTTCGGGTTCGGGATGGACCTGAAATTTTCAGATCGGTTTCAAGTCGGATTTTTGGGTCATGTTAAATATTGACACCCTTAAGTTATTATATGATTTAAATAACAATACATAACAAATGAATAAATTGAAATTCATATTAAAGAGTAGTTCGGATTACATTCTCGAACCCACACAAAATCTTAAAAGATTCTTGTCCCTTATGACTCTCCTTTTTATTTATGCTTATAGCATCAGAACATATCAGATATACTTGCTTAGACAAAATATCAAAGAATTCTAGCCTCTTATAACTCCCAGAAATTCCCTGGCATAGACAACATCTTAAATGATTCTAGCCACATATGCACATATATCATCACATTATAATAATTAAAGAGTAATTGAACATATATCAAAATTTCAGAGTTGTATAATGGTAGACAACAAAAAATCCAACTAAGCAAAAATGCACATTTTCAAAAAATTATTAAAATGTCAGGGATTGTGTAAAACAATGTTTTAAGACTTTTATTGTACTACAATCATATTTTTCAACATTATGATAATTTTCTAATTAATAAAAACCCCGCAAAATTTAAAACCCCTAGTGAAATTTTTTTAGAAAATATTCAATCCATGAATTCTTTATTAAGCCTTCCTTTGAGATAACTTTTTTACTGCTTTTTAAAACAAATTTTTAATATAAAATCTTCTTGAACTATAGATAAATTTGTATGATTAGAGACTACTACTTAACAAATAATCCACTTAAATGAATATCGTTAATGCAACATATGTGCTCCAATCTTGATTATCGAAGGCTTTCCCTGCATTTGAGATTTTGTCTACAAAAGGAATATTTGTGTTATTGTGCTTCTATCATATATATTTCAGTCTTTAGACCTTAAGCTACGTGCCTAATTAATCATATATACCTCTGTTCCTCTTTCTGTTAACTTTTATCAGTATATCTAAATTTTATCCTTTCAATATATTAGGCTCTCTAGTGAGAGATTATTTTGTGCGGTCATCCGACATCGTTTATAGACGAATCAGAACTCGCCACATCACTTTTTAGATGTGTATCGGGTGACCTAGTGCATCCTGATTCGTCTCCAGAATGTCCAGTGATCGCACAGAATAATCTCTCTTCTCACACACATACACACTCTCTCTACGTATACCCAAAAAAACGTATCAAGCATTTAGATAGATTTTTAAAAGAATATAATTCATTTAATCACTTAAAATAGCTGCATTGTATATTATGCTAAATTTTTTCAGAACATTTAAGTCAATTAAGACAATCTCACACACACATATCATATAAGCAAGACGACTCAAATTCAAGATCTCTCATTTAATAGTTAAGCTTTCAACCAATAGACCAAGATGAGCTGTGCTATTATGCTAACTCTTAAAACTTAGACGAATATTAATGATACGTAGTTCGTATTGACGTGTTAGTCAGAAGCAATTGTCATACTATCCTCTGCTGCTAGTAGGGTTGTCAATATTTGATCCGACCCGAAAACCCGACCCAGACCCGACCTGGAAAATCCGGGTTGGACCCGACCCGTTTGAAAAACCGGTCGGGTTCTGGTTGACGGGTCACCCTGAAAATCCGTTTATTAAAAAAAAAAAAAAATTAGATTTCCTGCGCTGCCGAACCCGAACCCGCGCA